CTATTTGCCTGTGTGAGGTCTATGGCTTGAAATGCTAAGAGTGGGGCCAGCTGCTGGATTTCAGTTCTGAATCAGTCGGGATCAATGACAAAAATATCTAAAGCAGCGATATTAGAAGGAAAGCCTTTGCTTTTTCCCAGGTGTATTGGGTCTGGCTGAGATGGAGTTTGAGGCTGTTGAATCCAGCAGGAGCACAGTGCATACTGTTCCTCCTGTGTTTTGGCAAGGTGACTGCAAGTGCTCTTCTGCAAAACCAGTAAAAAGGACTGTCCTGCAATTTGCTGCCTTCTGTGCCTAAAAACTCATTTGAGCAATCTGAAATGGCTTTTAACATGGCTAGCTGATAGTGTTGGATTGCCAATCATAGGAGCTCAAAACTCTTTTACTGTAACTTGCTTTCTGGCTTCTCAAAGAGATTTTGTGGGAGCTGGGACGGGTCCTGAAGAAGAAGAGATGCCATTCCATCTGGAAGCTGGGGCTTGGATTTGGCTGAGGGAATAAGTGTTGCTGTGCAAACAGGTGCTATCAATGAGAACACTTTTCCAGACTTGTAGTGTAGACTACCTTGGAAGTTGAGGGTAAAAATCAGTGGTTTCCAGAAAACTGCTTTGAGTATTCAGAGTGTTAACGTAGCATATGTGGTCCTTCAGAAATAAAGCCAGCAATTTTTGCAGAGACTTGGCAGAGGTAGATAACTTCTGACAAGCTTTGATTTTAGCTTTCCTATTCTGCCCTGCAAATCTAGCTACAAGAATATGTACCTTAATCTCATCCGTGTAACTTTTGCTAAAACAGTAGCAGCAATATATCTGCCTAAACAAAAAATGTGTAGCATACACATGCCCAGAAGTGTGCAACATCTGGGTAATGCCAAAAGGAAAAATGCCCCATTTCCCCCCAAAATCTCCTTCTTGGATGTTTTGTCTGGCTTGCTGTGCTGAACTGAGTTGGCAGTAAAGTGTGGGTAGATGCAGCTGCACTCCTAACCTCCTGGTTAGTGTGCATGCTTGCAGATGCAGATGTTGATTAAAATACCGTGATTGGCTTTGTCTCCTCAGAGGTACACGGAGGGGTTACGCTGGGGCTGTGCCTGGCATAAATCTCAACCTGGGATGTGAGATGATGTTGTTAGTAATATAGCTGCTTTTCTCCCAGGAAATTGAGCCTGATGATTAAGATTTTGTCTGTCTTGGAGCAGTCTGCAGCCCCTGGGCTGTGAGTGCTGCTCCCACGGAGCAATTAAGCTTTCCTAGGGAACACATATGATGTGGCTGAAGTTGTGATTCCTGTTAACTACTACTCTGCTGATTTTTATTACCCCAGGTGCAGCTGCCAGGTGCTACTGAAGCAGTGGTGGGAGAGGTAATGCCACCTCCAATTGCTGCAGCTCGATTCACTGCTTTTCCCAACAGGGCACCGAGCTCTTAAAACTCAGCTCAGAAGCAAAATAGCTGCAGGGCAGGCACCTTGTCAGAGTTGCGAGAGGGTTGATAGCAGCAGGACTGGGGAGATGAAGCAGATCTGAGAAGATGGTGGGAGTAAGGAGAGAAAGCTGGGGATGGATATTGAGGGATTGGAGCAAGGCAGGCCTGGGCCAGGCATGAGTTACAAGGGAAGGGGTGATGCTTTAGAAGGGAATGGCTAGAGAAACTGTTTGTTTTTTTTCTTTTTCCCAGCACCTGCATAAAATGGGGGATGGCTTATTTTCATGTTGTATATGATGGGCTGAGGTACAGAAAGGCTTAGGGTTAAGGCATTGGCTATTTTTATGGCTGCGCAGGGTGAGAAGTGGATTTTGTCCCTGCAGCACTGAAGGATGGTACTCGCTGTCCTTGGCCTCCTGCACTTTTCATGCTTTTCCATTTCTCTTCGCTATGAGGTGAGTCCTGCAGGGTGGACTGAGGGGGATCGTCCTGACCACAAAGTGTTCTTCAAGGTGTGGGAAGGCTGCACTGATTTTTCTCAGTCAACTTTAACTCAGTTCCTGACTCTGGCCTGCTACTCAACAAAATCTTTCTTTCTTTGGGGCTTTTAGACCATATATCAGGCTGAAGTGGCACTTCTGTGCTCAGAGGTCTGACTCACCCTGTCATGTAGCTCATGGCGCTTCAGCAAATGGTGCCTTCGTATGAAGTGATAGAGATGGCTGGGTGAGGGGGGCACCATTTTGGAGATCTTAAACTCTTCAGCCAATCTGAGGTAGTACGTAAAGGTGTCTAACTCTGCCCTCCGCCTCACTGAAGCAACTGCTCGTAGCACAGGCTATAAAGTGTTACTGAGGCTGTGCTTCCATATGGAAACCTGATTGATATTCACACAGATTTGTGCGACAGCCACGTCAGATCCCGCTCTGAACTTCTGCAAAACACCAAAGAAACTTTCAGGGGAGCCGAACAGCTTCTGCTGTTGCTCGTGGCATCTGCTGCCCTTCAAGCAGTGGGGGTGATCATTAGGCGATGGGGGGAAAACAGCTGCCAGGGCTGGAGGCAGCTTTTGAGCTGTGCTCAGAGGGAAAGGAAGGTGCATCTGCCATGCCCACGGCTCCTCTTCTCACCTCGAGGTGACCCTGCGTTTGACAGGCATAAGTTGCTCATGTTTTAAAATGCCTGGCAGACTAATAGGCTGAAGGATTCAAAACAGGAGTGGTTTGAAGCCTTGAGGTGGTTTAGTGACAAAGCAGACACCTGCCCGGGAGTGCAGTTCCTGTACAGCCCAGGTTTGGGATTATTTGCAAGCCGAGTGTTTTGTCCGTCCCTTGCCCAAGGGACGTGAGGCTCGGCTGCCTTTTGTTCTGCTCTTTCCTCCCCTAAAGAGGGAGGAACAGAGGATGCTTCCCTTGCCAGAGTCCTCGCTGACCTCTGCCCAACCCTCCGATCCTACTCCACCCTTGCCCTTCTTCCAGCTCCTGTGCTGCTTCTCTCCTGTCTCCAGCCCTCTGCTTTCAGGGGCCACTGCTGCTGTGCTCTTACCGAGCCACTTTCAGTGGGTTTGGGAGGTGAATAAATAGTCTTCCCTGCTTGGCTTTTACCCACTTACCCATCTCTGTCTGAATTGCGTTAGGACAGCGGGGGAAAAAACCTTGTTCTCTGAGCTGTGTGCTCAAACTGTCTTGCCCCCATGTGCCTCCCATCCGACCCACTGAGTGGGGAGGACGGGGAAGCACAAACCTGTTGTGACAACTTCCCTGGGGCTGCAATCCTGGATGTGGCAGAGATGGAAAAGCCAGGATCGTGGATTTGAGCCTAACCCAGGCTAACTTTTTTGCTTTGCAGGGCTGCTCAAGCTCTCCTGGCACCAGGGGGCTGTCAGCACTGGTGGGTGCTCTGCTTTGCCGAGGAGAGGTTATGGTGTCCGTTGTGTATTTTGGAGGAGCCCAACCCCAAGTTTGGCACTTTGTTTGGGATTGAGATGCTCGCATGGTCTTCATAGTACTTCTGATGCTAGCAGGCACCCTGTCCGGCTGTTGTCCGTAGCTCCGGGACACAGGCTACCCCTCAATCCTGGCACATCTGCCAGCCCTTGTGCAGGTGTTTCATACCTGGGGGTTCCTGCGGTGCTGTGATACTCTGGGTATTGCCTTCAGGTTGTTTCCTATACTTTCCTCATCTCGCTTCTTTTTGTCTGTCTTCGGGCAAGTTTCCATTGTGCAGGGATGGAAACCCCCTCCTAAGCTGGACGGCACCCTTGGTGCGTTTTGCCGGCCATCTGGTTGGGGATGGCAGCACCTTTTCGAAGCCTTCAGAGCAATTCTGATAAGACCGATTCACGCTGATTCCCGTCCAGCACGTAGACGAAGGAGGCAGGGATCAGGAAGGGGATTAATCCGAGTTGTTTGTCGGGTTTCCCATGCCTCGGACAGGCAGCTCAAAAGTCACCCGAAGGCTTGAAGCCCCTGCAGCCCTCCGAGGGAGATGCGGAGCGCTCGGGACGAGAGCCTGCCGGCGCGTTGCTGGCGGCAGGAAGCTCTGCAGCCCCTGTTCTGTGTCACCGAGTTCCTGTTTGTGGCTGCCCTGCTCGGGGCTCGTTTTTTGCGGTGGCGAGCCGTCAGCTCGAGATCCCTCCGTAGACCGCGTGCGCTGCCTTCAGCTGCTGTCGCCTCTGCGTTTGCTTATACGGTGCTTTAAAAAGAGTCATCGATATTTTAGTTTCCATTCAAGCCTCTGCCTTGAAGTTCACCCTTTTCATTTTGCTGTAGTGCCTAAAGGAAGCTAATGAAATATATCCCTCCTGCTTCAAATTAGGCATAAAAGACTCGTCAGAGGATGGGTAGAAGCTGCTGAATAATCCTGGTAATGTAAAAATTGACGTTCTATAACGTCCCTAATTCTCCTAATTAAACATGATGCACGAGCATGCCACAAGAGTCCTCCAGCTGCTTCGTAATAAAATGCTGCAGTGAACTAGCTTGCAGTTGAATGAGGCTAGGTTAAACTCTAATTAGAAGCGTTGTGAAAGGCTAAGGAGTTGTCCACTGTAATTAAGAAACTTGTCTTGCTTTCTCGATGCTGCTGCCTCCTGTGACCTGCTCCTCTGCCCCACGGGGAGCTGCGGGTCTGTCCATCCATATCGGGTGTCTCCTTGGAAACCTTTTTTTCGTTTTTTTTCTTTTTTTTTTTCCCCTCCTCAGTTTCAAATTGCTGAATCGCAAGTGGAAAGGCTGTGCTGCTGGAGGCGAGCTGATGAGTGCCTTGGGTTTAGGGTGGGCTAGGGCTGTGGCGCAGCTCTCGCTTCTGCGCCGTGACTTGGTGCTTTTATCACTTACAGTCCAAGGTTTCGTCCTGTTTGGGGTTTTGTCTGGGTTTTTTTAACCGAGAGGAGTGAGGCGTTGACTCTTGGCTTTGCCCCTCGCGCCATTTTGACTCTGTAAGCAGGCTGGCGCGTGAAGCCCCTGCTGTCACCGGGCCAGGCTCCAGACCGTCCCTTGGGACGCACGCCCCAATCCGACCCAAAACGTGCCAGAGCAGATTATTGATAATTTTCAGCCCCTGCCAGTCGAGGGCATGAGAGAAGCCTCTCAGGAGGCCGCGGCTACTGCCGAGGCCTCGGCGGCTGTGACCGGTGGGGGTGCCCGCAGATCGGGCCGTTGCGGTTCTGGTCCGGCCCGGCTAACCGCCCTCCCCGTCTCGTCGGCAGGTTACCTCAAGTGCGACACGGACGATGGCTGCGAGGCCAAGGAGGAGACGGGGGGCGAGGAGCTCTTCGACGCGGTGAACTCCTCCATCGTCTCGGGGGACAGCATCCGCTTCTTCGTCAATGTCAACCTGGAGGTGCCGCCGAATGCCACCGGTGAGTGACAACCCCCTCCCTGGGTCGCGTTGGGAGCGATTTTTTTTGGGAAAAACAAATAAATTCTGGCCGCTGAGTGGGTCTTCAGCCATCTGCATGAAGTGTCCTGACTCCATACCCCCCCACCACCTCCTTCCTTTTTTTTATTTTTTCCTAAAAAGGCCTCGAGTTTGGGGCCTGGGGCCTCGCCGTTGCTCTCACTGCTGTGGCCTAGTGGCTGGAGGAGAGCCCTTTCTAGTGAGAAATCAGGGGGTTTTGGTGCATGTGGTCCCTGTAGATAATTCAGACATGGCTCTGGGGCTTTGGAGGCTTTTTTTTTTGATCACATTTTAATTGAAATGCTGGAGGTGAGTCGGAGCTGTGGATCGCCCGGGTCAGTCGCCGCTCTCTGCAGCAGCCGGTAAGGGTAGAAAGAGTCTAGAGGGATTTTTGGGGTAGGACATGTGCCTTTTGGGTTTAATCATCCTGGCTGGAGGCAAGCAATCCCTACACCTACTCTGTTGAGGCAGGTAGCAAAAATGAGGAGAAAACCAGCCTGTTAGACACCTCTGGAGGTCAGGCCCCCACAGCTGTATACTGGGAAGTGCTGTTGTGTGTCACGCTCTGTTTATAAATACGAACTACCTGCTTTAGGTGAGGGCCTGAGTGCCAAGGTCCCCAAAATATGCTTTAGTAGGATCTGTGCCTGTTTTGAGGCAGTTTCGTGCAGGGGAGGAGGACAGGGTTTGGTGCTGGGGGTGAACCCACCAGCAAAAAACACCCTTGGGGCTTCCACCCTCGGGCAACCACCATGTCAGCTTTGAGTGGTGGCTTGGTTCATAGAGGACAAGTGGCCACAGAGGAGGTTGAGCAGTCACATTGCAGATGGATATATGTGCCCCAAACTGTGCTCTTTGTGTACTCCCTGCCAAGCCAGCATCCTTTAGGAACTTTGCCCAGCATGGGGAGCAAGGTGGTGGGGACTTCCAAACAGCCTAGTTAACACAAATTGTGAAGAAATCCAAAATGCTTGCTACCAAGGAATAAAATTCCTAGATTGTTCTAGAGGTTGGTTTTGCCCGTAGCACACCATTTTAACATCCTCTGTAATGCACATGCTGAATGGTGAAGGTGGAGGACTAGCAAAACTTGGCTTTTATGCTGTGCACTTAGGAAAATAGAGCTCTAGGACACAGCAGTTGCCTGGGTTTTGTCCCAGCAGCTGGAGGCAGTTTGGAGCCTGCCTGTGTGGGCACTGACAATTTTGGGGATTAAATGCAAGGGCTCTGGATTATCCTTGGTGTCGCAGTACTCGAGAGTCCTTTAAGTTTGCTCAAAGTTATTTTTAGATTACAAGCAAATCCTATTTGATCTATAGTGAGCAATTATTGGAAAGAGTGATGCAGAATAGGCATGGCCCAGACCTCTGCTTGACTATCTTAAAGTCTACTTTTTGAATCAGAGCGGTGACTTTAACTTAGGAATAATATCTAGCAATTTTCAAGCCTGCAATTTTACAAATGCCATCTTAATTGAAAGATTTAAGTGGAACTGTACTCTGCTATGACAAGTCTGGGCTTAATGCCGTGGGGTGCATTGTTCGGGGATGAGGAATGCAAGTGCTGTGGATTCTTCTGTGTCTGAAGAAGCTGACTTTCCTTGTGTGTCCTCCTGGGCTTTTTATGAGTGTTTTCCCTTCCATTCAAAACAGGACAAAAAAGGCTTCCTTATTTCCCTCAAGCACTGATGTTTGTGATGGTGGTATTAGTTGTACCCTTTTTCTTCAGCTGAGATGTTTAGAATTTTTAAGGAAAAATGGATTTCTGATGTGCTGGAGTCCCCTTTCAGATGCAAGGATGGAGGTTTTACAAACGGGCTTCAGGCAGAGCAAAAGTCCAGACTTTCAGTATGGGCAGGTGTGAAGTCAGATTTATTTTTTTTTTTACCATGACAACATCGAAGTGGTCCATGTAGCCAAAATCCAGGTGGTTCTTCATCAGGCATAGGATTCCTCAGACTCCAGGTGTTTAAGTCATCTAGGCTGTCAACTCCTTCTCAGAGGTGGTTTTACTGAAGCATCTTCCAGAGTGGATTTTATACATACTAAATCAGTCTCTGGCTACAGAGGGCATAGCTGATCCTCCTGGAAAGCTGACTTCTCAGGTGCTTGAAAGTGGCTGAGATGAGCCCCTTAAGCTCTTCTAACAAAAGTAGCCTGAACTGCTGAAGAAAACCCCCTCTTTGCAAGCTTCCTAAGCTCTTTCCAGAAATGAGGTTTAACTATGCCATGGCTGAGGTATGTCCAGGAGCATACTGTTTCTTGTCTGACTCTGCAAGGGCATTTCTGAAAAGTGTCCCCTTGCATTGCTGCTGTTCTCTGGGAGTTTTGTTTTATACTCAGGTTTTGTGTTCCTGGAACAAAACCATGGAGCTGAGCACTTGCAGTGCTTGCCTCTAACAAGACAAGCTGAAAAGAAAGGAGGTTAAAAAAAAAAAAAGTTTTGTCCAGGCAATGCAAGATCCCCCAAACACCTCATTTCCAACCCCCAAGGGAGCTAGTGTGCCAGATACAAGATACTCTGGTGCTCTTTAAACATAGAGGAAAAGCAAGTGTGGGAATGACATCTTTCCCTCCCCATCCCATTTTTCTTGCTTTCTCCAAGCTGGGTGAAACCTTTGTTGAGCTGAAAGGCTTCCTTGTGCGAGAGGGCTCGATATTGCCCTCTTGTGTCGTGCAACCCATTGCAACACTTGCTGGGGCTGGGAGAGTTGCTGCCTGGCCAGAAAGGGACTGACCATGGGCCACCTTCTGCAAAGAGGGCTCTCTAGTTCTGCCTATGACTTGCTCCCTAGTGTCAGATGCACTTGCTGCATAAAATACATCTGCTTAATCTCCAGCAGGAAAAAAAAACCCTCTAAGGTGACTTGGCAAAAGATAAATAGCCGCTCTGTAATATCTGTGAATCTCTGTGTGCGTTTTCTGGTCGTCACAGTTCGGTCTCTTGGCTGAATGTGGTGTCCAGATTCTCTCCTGCTGGAGACCTTTTCTGGTGAGCTGCTGTGAGGTTGCTGCCCGCCTTAGTGTAGGGCTAAAAGATCCAAAAATCCCATCTGGGGAGGGGATGAGCTTGTAACGCAGGGTCTGGGTGCTGGCGGGCAATGTAAGTGGAATTACAGATGCGGTAACAGCTCTGCCATCATCCTGTCAAGCTGTTAATCTCTGTTTGATGGATGTACAGCTTGCTATGAGCATAATTGGATGCACTTTACTATAATTCTGTTTTAAAAAGATCGCTGTGTGGGATTGAATGTTGAGCCAACAAAACATAGCATGGCCCATAAAATTCTGACAATTAACCATTGTCATAAAATGCTGGGCTGTGTGCACAGATGTGTATAAAACAGGATAGCTTGAAGAAATGTAGGGTTTAAGGTATGGCTTATCTCATTTTTAATTAATACAGGCTGCTGTTCCATCGAATATTGAGCCCAAATCAGAACAGATGCCTAGGTGCTAATATGCCTCTTGGTCTTGACACTTTTGGTCCTTTCTCCTGGGTGTTTTATTACTTCCTTGTAATAGCTGATGAAAAGCTTTTTTAGTCTCTTCTGCCTCTCATGCTTCCAGCTTAGGTTTTGGTGGCAAGACTTCTGCTTTCAGCAAATGTTAATAGCTCCAACATGAAGGGTGGGTCTTTATCTGAAGCTGTGAATGCTTTTGGACCTGGGATCTGCATTTTAGGGGGAAGATCAGGATGGTTTTTAGAGACTGAGACTTGTTCTGAAGTCACAATAAAAGCATACAAGTAAAATGTTAGGTCTGCACCCTGCTGCATGTATTTTTGCCAGGAGTCAGTACTGCATTCCTGTCCCGAATGAAGTCCCTTTTCCCTGACACCCTTTGCCTGAGGTCGGAGAGGGACCCCCACCACAGGAGCAGGGATGTTACCGTTCCTGTGCTGCAAGTGAAAAATCCAGCTTGATGCTCTGTTCCCTGGGAATTTGTGCCAGAGAGGATGAGGAGCATCAGTGAGTTTGGTGTGCAGTGGGGGGGACCTCTTTCCAGACCAGTGTGCTACAAGCCCTGCTTATTTCATAGCTACCAGGTTAGCTGTCTATTGGCTTGCAGGCTCATATGTGGCTTTACAACTGCTTTCCTATTCTCTCACCTAGCTAGAATTGTATTAACCCTTCGGTCTTAGTGCTACGTGGGTGTGAATCTGACTGTCTCTTGGTATTTTACATATGGGCTTTTCCATAAATCCTTCTGGAGCCTGCGTTGCAAGCATTCATACCTGTGTCCCTTCAGCCTGTTTGAAGAAACATCAAGCTAGGGGATTCAACCACTTGCTGCTTTATTTGCAGCATGCTTGGAAATCCCTGCAAACGAATATGGCAATTTGGTTTAGGTAAAGCCTTAAAGACGGAGGACAGGCAATGAGAGCCTCGCTTAGTGCAGTGGGCCCGCAAAGCGTGCGGGGCCACAGCCTTGCTGTCAGTCACAGTGTTCTTACCTGCTTGAGAGCTCCCTTAAATCAGCCAGGCAAATATTTTCATCATTTGGACCTTGTTCTTGCAGTTTGGGGTTTTAAAACAATTCACCTTCTCCTCCTTTCCCCAGATTGCAGTAGAGGGGTTTGCACAGATTTTTTTTTTCTTAAACTTGGGCACAATTTTTCAGGGATTTGTGGAGCTGTAGCTGTTCAACTTTTGCAGTATGCATTGCCACTTACAGCTGATGCTCATACTGGTGGCTTTAGCTGCAGGTAGGTGCCTGAAGCATTTTTGGGGGGGAAGATGGCAAAATCCTGGTGGCAGCAAAAAGCCAATTGGAAAGCAGGATGTGGCTTTGTCGGGGTGTGTGGGGGAAATAACGGAACGTGATTTACGCTACATGAGAAATTAAAGCCTGTTCCACCCTCTGGACAATTGATCATTCCTAGATACGGAGAATCAACAGTTTCCTGTAATCCGCTCCAGAGGCACGCACGTGCACGCCTGCTGCTGCCGCTCCGAGCAAA